TTGGCCTGTTCTCACAGGCCTGTGTTATATTCGGGGTAGGCCAGTCCAGGCCGGTACCTCTGTCGGTACCAGCCAGTCCAGTCCAGTCCCGTCAGTCCGCTGGGGTATACCCCAGCCATTGTCTGTTTTCAGTCTCATTCCTCACTTGCACATTTTGGAGTACGTGCGTGGAGTCTTGCGTGGGGAGCTGCGTTGTGCCATCTTGCTCCCCCTTCTTCCTCCATCTCCATCTCTGTCACTAGCGGAGCACCACACCTGGTGGGTCCCCTACAGAGCTACCCCTTGGGTGGTGCGCAAGCAGTGTCTGTAATAGCTAACCTGCGTCATCCCAAGGGGGTGTGTGTCCAGCCGTGCGTCAATCTAACGCCCTGCCGGTGTCCATGCGCAAGGCTGCAGATTTGAACCCGCAACCTCATACCACAATGCGCATTTCCAACCGGTGCTCTAACCACTGAGGTACATCAACTGGACTCGCAGAATATACCTTCCTGATCCTGAGGGTCTGATGAGATTTGTTTTTTTTTTTTTTTTTTTTTACAAAAAGTCTCTTTATTATTAGGGCCCCGTGCCCAAGGCAATATATCCAAAGAGTTTCAGATTCAAGGGCCGCAAGGTCTCCAATCCTTCTCTGTGAGGTGGAGCCCCTCCCCTGTAGCCAAAGATCTCTATAAGCCTAAGTGCGGGATGACCAACTATTGTATACGGACAGGCAGAAAACAAAAGAATTGTGAAAATATAAAGCCTGAAGAACCTGAAGGAAAGCCTACAAATGTCCTATAAAATTGACTAACAAAAAGACCTACAAAGTTACCTACGAAATTACATGCTAAAGTACCTACACATACCTAAAACTACTATTGAGAAAAGAAACCATCTGAGTACCCGTTTGCCAAAAACAATGTCTGTAAGTTTGTACTTCATTACTACTGTGTCTGCAGAAAAGGTTCAAAGCGGAAGTCTCCAGTGCATGTATCTATAGTGACAAGAAAGGGGCAGGAAGCCCAATGCTTTTGGAACCACAAAACGCCTGCTCGCAAACTCATTGGTTTTCCCAGTCTCTGTTTCCAATCCAGGTAGATGATATGGCGCAAGTCCCTTTTGATCCTGTGGAGCATCTGTTGTGTCGAGGGCGATTCCTTGGACAGCACCACGTCATTTCTTTGTCTCCATAGGTGCCAAAGCACTGTTGCTCTGAGGGATTCGTAGACATAAGCCTGGGGCTTTGAAAGCTGCAGCACTATTGTGCCCAGTAACATGGATGCATTTGACCAAGTATCTCCCCATTGCTGAGGTACTGGCGAATTCGCCCTTTCGTACACCCAAATACCTTCAGCATTTTTGCATGAAATCCAGATGTGGTGCTGATCCTCCACAAGGTGGGGAATTAAGCATGCTTTGTATAAAGGTGTGCCCTGTTTTCGACGACGATACAGAAAGGTGGCGGTAGGGATGGCATTGTGCAATATTTGCCAAAGCAGGCCGACGTGTTTTGCCACTCGCAGATAGGGAAGCAGTCGCCAGAAAGTCGTTAGTCGGTCGGTGTGGATGTTATATCCAAGTGCACGCCATTTTTTAACTATGCTCCAATCCACGTCCACATCTGGTAGAAGCATTAAGTAAGCGAGTTTGGCAGTGTTGTGTAAGAGATACAACAGTGTTCGGCTTTCGTGGGTCTTCCCAATACCAGTCTCTGGGATCAAGTGTCAGATCCTTGGAAGCAGTCTGAGTTCTGTATGGCAGATAGGTGACACTGAGTGCTTGTTTCTGTTCCAACACACAGACGGCAGTCATTGATGTTAAGTCAGAGGTGATTGGAGCTGAGGAGGATCTGGTTAGAGCAGTACCCAGTCCTGTTTGTCCGTCCTTCATTTTCCAACTGGTCATTTCCCACTCTTCATCAGTTAGCTGTGTTTCCAGGCGCCACAGTATGTGGGTAGAATCTTCGTTGTCTTCCCAAAACCAGGACTCTGTTTGTTTGTTTGTTTGTTTGTTTTAACTACACTATGTTCTTCTCTCAAATTCTTTTTGCCTTGCACTACCTCCCTACCACTACTCCTAAGACTATATAGAGGGGACCCCTGCAAGCATAGGGCCTCGGAGACCTTTTTTTTTTGTGAAGGGTCTGTTGAAGAACTTTGGAACCTAACACGCAAGTTTATCAGCATGGATAAGCCTTTTTTTTTTTTTTTTTTAAGCCGAAATTTAAAGATATGTGAATGTATTTTTGAGGGCTCCGGCCGCTCCGCCATATCCGGCCATGGGTTTATTTTCCGAGGCACGGCCGTGCTGCTGTACACAACACTCCACGTGCCTTTGGATGTTTTCTGGACCTGATACATTCAATATGTTGGAGTCCTCCGAACGCACCTGGTCCAGAAAAACGTCCAAATGCATGTAGAGTGTTGTCTAGTGGAGAGAGGCCCATATACAGTCTGTGTAGGGCACAGTTTTTTTCTGGAACAGTGTCATACAGTCAAGGAAACTATGGGCATACTAGGACTTTTTCTACTATTAAGCTCTGGACAGGATTGCAGTCAGATTCAATCAGGTTTGGCTGTAGTCGGCGTAATATGTATTTAGGAAAGTTCTAGTATGAGTATGTGTCAATGGGAAACCAGGGAAAGAGTTACTTAAAAGAGAAAGTCAAATTTTCTTGCTTTAAAATTTGAAAGCCAGTATCACATTACACAATTCAGTACTAAAGGCTGGGTGGGGGGCAAACACAGGAGGTAGGGTGGGGGGTAGTGCAATGCTTTTTTTTTTTAAGACTCTGCAGAATCTAATAGGGTGGGTGATACGAGCATCCCCTCCTACTACGTCTGCTAGGTCACTCCATCTATTGGTGGGGAGCTGCACCTTCCGGAAACCGGGTCCAGCGTCCCTTAATTACATATGAAAAAGTTTGAAGAGAAGTGGGGTTAGTGCAATGTAATGGAGCACAGGAGGAGGAGGAGGAGGAAAAGGGAGAACTGAGGAGAGACTACAAAAAACCGGGTCCAAGCCAAGTCCCCCCTTACCGCTGATTCTTCCTTTCTGCACGTATCTTTGTAATCTACGGTCCGAAATTGAGATTTTGGGGAAGTCGGACTTGGCCCCTGGTTTGGTCCAACTTTCTTTTCTTTTTTCTTTTAAAAATAATTCGACGGAGCGAGGGACCTGTAAAAATTTTGCGTAACTTAAAGCTGCTTAGTGTGCTCACCCCACGGTATTCTTTCGTGAAAGGCGAAAGAATAGTACGCCAACTGAGGTGGGCACGCAGCTGCGTTGGTTTGGTCCAACTTGACTCGGTCTATTCCTCTTAGAAGCCTTTCTGAATCAGACTTCCTGGACTTATTTCCCCCCTCTGCTTTGAGTGTAGTGCATCCTACCCGTAGCTTGCTTGGTCATGAGTAAAGGGATGGTCAGCTGTTTGAGTTTGTTTGATTGGGTTTGGTGCTTATTGCTCATCATCATCATGAAGGAAGGTAGCAATTGTCCCCAAAACAAAAAAAAAAAACAAAAAAAGATGAAGAAGAAGAAGAAGAAGGAAGGTAGTCTAACAGACTGCAGGGATTTTCTGCTAGTAAGTTAAGTTCAGCCTCGGACTCTGGTGCCTGT